AAGGCGTATGACGCACCAACTTATGGTGACGCCGTTCAGCCTGATGATCAGCTTCTGCCTAGACAGTTGACATAAGGCGTATAACGCACCAACTTATGGTGACGTCGGTCAGCCTGAACGATCGGCATACCCAAAGATCCGGACCACCTCAACTTATGAGGAGTCCAACCTTTGCCTGAACAAACGACAAGAGGCATATGATCAGAACACAACAACTTATGTTCTGCCCCGGCCAGCCCAAACAGTTCAATATGGCGTAGAGTCAGGCTACCCAACTTATGAGTAGCCTAGCCCAGCCTACACAAGTAACGAGTGTGTGTGGCTGAACAACCCGCAACTTATGCGTTCGCTCGGCCTCCGCGACACAACAATGAGTAAAGTCATAGATTTGTCTTGTCTGAATTCACACAAATAGTCTGAATTAAATCATACATACTTTCCAGTTTTACTTTTCAGATCATGTCATGAATTCAAAACGAACGAAAGCAATTAACTTTCTGAGTCAGACTTACAGACACACAATAGCAAAGGGTAATACAGTTTAAGGGACGGGATCACACGCGTAAAACGAGCATTATACATGAGTGTTCCCTGCCTCCTGAACCCCACCTGGGCTCCGGCAGAGCTCCCGCAATCGGTGGGTGGACCTCCCACAAGGTCTTGTTGCGGTCCTACGGGTTGCAATCCCACCTGCCGCCTTCCTCTCATAACCTTAGATTATACTCAGAGTAAGGAGGATAGAAGGAGGGGTTTCAGACGCTCGAGATACAAGAGAGGGCCAACTCAACTCGCAGGAGAGGACCTTGGTATCTTTAATCGCCTGAGGGCCCCGCAACGGTGGCCAAAAACGCAGTGAAGCCGGTCGAACCACGACCAATATGCAAGTAGCCGCCTCCTATGACAGTCTCTCAAGTCACAGCAATAGCCCGTCCTCAAAGGCCTGATCACATTCTCAAACTGTCGCACTCCAACCACTGACCAGGACGCAATCACGCAGCCTAGAAACGCACCGTCAGATCACTGTCCGGACGTAAAACGACGATCCACCAACGACCCTTTAATTTGAAGCCTACCTAAATCACAGTCAGCCTGCTGCAGTAAAAGGTATGTCGCATCAATTGAAACCCAGGCTGACAGCAATAACACGGTCGTAGCAGCAATGCTGTCCTCCGAACCAGAGCGTTCGGCAGCAGCAACAACATCACCGTTCGGACCCAAAACAGCAACTTGAAAACCTCTCGTAGAACCTAGATGATAAGCCACCCTAATACCAACAGAAACTCGACAGCGTATACAACAGTCCCCAGGCTATAGCAATAGCCTAAGTCGTGGAACCAACAGCGCAGTGCCCTGCCATCAGCACTAGCAGTTCGCTGTTGCTGAGAGTGGTAACAACACCGGTTGAATGCTCAGCAACATCAGTCCTATTTAAACAAACCAGCAATGTCCGCATGCTGCAGCCCAACAACGAGGTTCGAGCATACCACTTAATCCAACTCAGCCCGCCCCATCTGCTCACTTGATTGGTTGCAAAACAGCCCGCTCACTCGCTCTCTCTAGTTCATCTCGCATCGCCAGTGCTGCTTCCATAGTCTAGTTCCAACAGCAAGGTGCACACATAGTACACAGTCTAACACAGCCTGCTGCATACCTTCACTCGGTTGGCTGCGAACAACACAACGGTCACCGTTGGCTTCGAACTCACACCTATAATTCAACAGTTTCACGTATGTGTCAACTCCGCAGCCTGCCAATGTGCAAGATGAGAAGGAATTGTCGGCTAGAACAGGGGAAAGTACATTCCCCGACAGGCACCATCGGGATCTTAAAGAACAGGTAAGTTCATTCACCCCTTCTCTCCCCTTCCTTCTCCACTTCGACGTTCCATCTTCATTGATATAGGTGCACTACTCCCCCGTTTGGCTCCCTCTTTTCCTCGTCTCCTTTTTTCTTCGTTGTTTCTTCAACCTGGTTCCACATAGCCTTCTTCAATCCTTTCTTTTCGCTCCTATTCTTCCTCTATACCGTTCTTGTTCCCTCTGCATCGGTTGCACGCTCTTACTCCCCGATCGTATTCCCCTTTTAGTCGGTGCACCTAGCCATTCTCCCGACCAGGTTCAGATGACTTAACATGTCTTAAACATGACGATGAGTGCAACCAGCTTCCACCGAAATAGGTGAGTTCATCCCTTTCTCTTTCGCATGCGCACATGCATACTCCGCTCACCTACAAGCTCATTCCACATCCTTTGTTTGAGACTACGACGATGACTGCGTGGCGAAGACGATCATGGAGTGCACCGACATCAAGGTTGAAATGATAAACGAGCTTCTGGGCCTCTTCCCACCGCTCACAATGTATACAGCAGATTCCACACTCGAGCTTCTCGCCATCGTAATCAAGGAGCCCGATGTGTCGTAGGCGGGTAGGTACCCCGAATCTCACCTCGCTCCCGTTTCTCTCCATCGCGAGACTTTAACACCGCGTGGCCCCTATCTCCCAAACTCGCCAATCCACTAACCTAGCAGGAAAACTGACGTCGTCATGGTGTTCTTCCTATTTTGAAACCCCCGATTAGTATCTTACTTTGTTCGATTCTACAAAGAATCGAACGAAATATCGGAATTTCACTTCCCTGCCATAGTTGCACTCCCTCCACCTTCGCGCCCTCTCATTTTTTACTAACTCCTATCCTACTCACCTAATCCCAAAACTAACGATGCCATCACACTCGCCTTACCTAATAACCACGATTCTTACCTTTAGCTCGCCTGATTCCATCAGGAATCGGGCGAGAACATCACTTTCCGTTCCGTCGTGCTTGACTTGTCTCCGCCACCTTAAACTTCGTCTTCGAATGTTCCTGGCGCGGATCCGTGCCCAGGTTGTTCGAACGATTTGCACATCAGTATTTTTGCGCTCTTTCCCCTGCGCCTTACTCCGTCGCTGGCAAAAGACTCATCATCCCCCGATTCCCACGGGCATGCTCACACCCAACTCTCTCATAACGGATAAGTGGCAGTTCCCTCATCATGCCCCGCTTCCGCTCCAACTAAGAACCAGCTGCATTTGGTTCGCTTGATACTTTAACAACTCTAGCTATCCTGAGGGAAACTTCGAAGGGAACCAGCTACTGGCTATTTGATCTAGTCTTCCGCCCCCACACCGAGGTCCGAAGAACGATTTGCACGTCAGTATCGCTGCAAGCCTTCTGCTCAGCGCCCCTGACCTTGGTCGGTGCGCAAACTACAAGGTGTCGATTGATGCAGACAACAGAACGGAGGACCGCTAGCGAGTACATAGCAACTCACCTGCCGGGTCCCTCGGTCCAAAAAGATGGCGCTGGGGCGAGCGGCCTATGCTCGACCCTCGTGGAGACTCGGATGCTGCACTGAGTAGGCGGGCGCTAGGCCCGCTGGGAAGCCTGCAGCATGATCCGAGGTGAAGCAGGTCCCGCTGCAGATCTTGGTGGTAGTAGCAAATATTAAAATGAGAACTTTGAAGACCGAGGATGAGAAGGGTCCCATGTGCACAACTGTGCATTCAGCACCGCTGCAGACCTCCCTATTGTGCCTTGGGTCGCTCCGCCCGGCACAGTTCGCATCTTGCTCACACACAAAACTCTCACAACAGACCGTGAATGGCAGGTGGTGCACCTACAGAGGGCCCCGCCACTCAGATTTCTTCCGCCTCGTGGGCTAATTACCCACCGGTTGGCACAAACGTTGACTCCTTGGCCCGTGTTTCCACTAGTTCATGGGTGTATTATTAGAGTCACGCCCCCTGATCCCCACACACAACCCTTGTACCAACACTAGTGCCGCGTTCCAGAAACGGAACCGACAATTAAAATGATTAAAGAAAAATAAAAAGAATACGAACATTGGGAACCAGTGCTTTGGGGAAGGGAGACCGTCGGTGCCTGCCTCTTTTATTTACGTCGACGGGGGCCTATGGATGGGCCGACAACAAAACCAAGGGGGATAGCCCCGTCGGGCCCTCAACCCCTCGGCATCTTCAGCCGCTCCAATGTTCCATCGTCGCCGGTTGCTACCCTCGATCCTCGTACCTCCGCCTCGAAAGTCCATTGCCGTAACCATTAGTGTTATGCCCAAGGCTGGCATCGACATTAGCAGAAACCCATATAAACGGGTATCACTACACATACAGATCCGCTAGTCCAAGATCACTCCTTCAGCCTGTCAACTAAGTCAATGGTCATCAACCTCCCACGTCCACCGCACGGAGGTCCCTGCTTCCGTTCTATTCTCTCTCTCGCATGCTCCAATCACCGCCCAAAATCAACATTACTGCCTGATGTCGTCTTTCGGAGCGTACGTGCACTATGGTCACTTCAACATAAAGAAAAACATTTTCTAGTTTTAATCAAAAAGTCAAAAATTCGTGGGCGGGAACGCCGACTCTATGACATCAAAATAAGAATCACCACGCGCGCCTCAAAATTGTGCGCCCACATACTCTCTACTTTTAGTCAACCATTCAGTCAACGTAACAAAACGCAACCGCGGCTCACACAATGTACTCAAATTTCGAACAAAACTTATTTTCTGTCACTTGCAAAAAACAGGGCGGATACCCTTGTAAGGGTATTCGCGCCAACAACGACCTCCGCCATTCCGCCCTTGTCCTCATCCTCCACCTCCTCGTCCACCTTGGCCTCTGTCGCCATTCCCCTGTCCATCCTGTCCTTGGTCCCCCCCTCCTGCCGCACTAGCCTGCGATGCTTGTTGCGTGGGTGGAGGCTGGGCTACAAATTGCCCCTGAGCTGCCGGAAAGCTTGGTGGCCCCGCACTCGTCGGCGAGCCGGAATAGGGCACCATCTGCCCTGGGGAAACTTTGCCTCCTCCCGATGAATTGTAGGGGTTACACATGGGCCAGGGTGCCATTGGGCAGAAGGGCGGCCAGTGTCCATATGGCAATGGTGGCCCCATTTGTGAAGGCACTACCGACATAGACGAGCCGGCGGCATCTGGAGACGGCGTTACAATTGCGCTGCTTGCGGTGCGCCTTGGTGAGGACTTGGGAACCCGTTTCCTCCTCGCCATAGTCTTCTTGCCCAGCCTCCTCTCCTACGCCCTCTTTCCCCCGACCTTGGACGATGGTCACCACCTTCCTCTCTTCTATCTAATCTTTAGTAATCCCCAATTCTTATAGAACATCCGACACAACCTTCTTCATATCTGGGGCTCCCGTAGTCCCCGCATCCCGTTCCGTGCATTTGGAACTGGTGGACCTCGTCCAAGTCACCTTCCTGCACTCCTTTGTCAATCGTAGCCCAGGTAAGTTTCTCACCTCCCCCTCCCTTGCTTGTGAGCTCCTGGGCCTCTTTAGATTTGAACAATCCGACGAAGATGGCACACTGTTCCTCTTCCGGAATTCTAGGGACCTTTCTCACCTTTTTCTTAAAGTCCTCGGTCAGCGTCCCAACGGTGGTGTAGTCATTCCTGTTAACGGCTTCCAGATCCGCCGCCGTTAGCAGCCCATCACCCAACCGATATTTCCTCTGCATCCCATCTTTAAATCGGGACCAACCGTCATTTGATGCCATTATAACCTTCTTGACTTCTTCGTGCAGACCATGGTACACGTACTCCAAGATACGTTGGAATTTCACCGCATCCGCTACTCCAACCATCGTCTGCTCGACCAACTCGAGCCAATCTAAGACCCGCTCTCCCTTGAACAAGAAGGTTTCAACCTTCGGAACACTTCCACGCGCCGGATCTCGCCGATCCAAAGTCTCGATCAAGTCGTCGAGTGTTGTCATGTTCCCACCACCGGCAGAATTGGCTTCAACCATTTCTTCTGGCCTTTTGAGTCAGAACCCCTGATAAGAAAACGAAGCAATCACTCCATTCAGCAACTAATCGGCTTCGTAATATCATTACCGACTTAAACCTTACTTAGCCTACCCACATGACCACCCACTAAAGATCACCCTTTTTCCAATCTAGACAGGACTAGCCTTACCTCAAGTTTCGAATTATTCCTATCCTAGGGGTAGTCTCTTAATCTTAACTGGACTCTTCCTATAGTAATTCTTTAAAAAACACTTCTTATATAAATCATTTCACATGTCGTTTTGCCTAGATCGCCCATCTACCATTCGCCTGGGTTCGATCTCTTCAAGACCTCAAAATGAGATCCCCAGCAACGGCGCCACCTGTCGAGCGCATCGGTCTGGCACCGCACAAGGCAGCGCGGGACCCTCCCGGTCGCGTCACACAGGAGTTGGTCTAAATCCTCGTTGCGAATATACACATGGAGTTTTCGCAAGCCGCTCCGGCCGAGTGCGCCAGACATACCTCTCGTGAGCCCCTACGACAGGATAGGGCCTAGGCGAGGCACGACTTACCTCCACCTTACGGGAGTTGTCACCTCCCTTCGGTGGGCGTATCCCCGCCGAGCTACCAATCCACAATACAAAAGCTAATCAGTTGCAATCGCAGAGGTGGACCAGCCGAGGGCGTTTTCTCGTTCGCCGTAGCAGAGGGGGTACGTGCGGTATTACGCCTCTATCGGACCCGCACGCGAACCGTCATCTTGGGGGGCTGAAGTTCCAAGTGCGACTCGACGTCGGTCAACTAGGACGTATCCCACTCACCACAAGCACACCACTCTAGCAGACACAAAAATAAAACACACTCGCCTACGCACACATATACAATGGTAACGAGTAATAACGCGACAACACTCCTAGTCCCTTCAGTAATAATCCCATAACTTTCCGATGCAGAAATCAGATAGGCGTCGCGCGAGAGGCTTAGTATAGCCCACTCATATCGACTAGCAATGCAATCATTCGCAAACAGTTGCAATGATGGTGTCCTATGTAGTGCCCATAATCAAGCAGTCCTTCGTGGATCCGAGTACCGCTCATGACACTCAAGTGTCAGCCTCGAGGTATCGTGAAGGTTTGCCCCTTCACGATATTGCACGGCTGAAGGAATAGCCGTGCGGCCGCCGCGAGACCTTCGGTCTTCTGGCTGAGGGTCTTAACAGGCAGGGCAAATAGGCTCTGCGTGGGGGGAGATTCTTTTCATGCAGAGTCTAGGGCCTGGGATGTCCTGGACAAGGACCTCGAATCCCGACCCAGGACCAACGTTCGACTAAGAAATCTTTTAAGAAACATTCAACAATAAAACGGGGTTTCTTTTCTTTTCTCAACCCCAATTCCCAATTAACCCTTAAGCGTAGGTCCCTCAGGCCACGCGACCACCCTTCATAGGTACGCTTACATATTTATGTATATATATAGGGGGATACGTATGTGACGATCACTTCTCACAGTCACCGTGGGACTTTTCACAGCCATATATGTGTGTGTGATCGTAGACAGTCACATCCAAATCCGAATCACAGTACATACCTGCAATCACATCAAAGAGCCAAACAGAAGTTCATGCACTACACGGGGTCAACTTCAACCAATGTCTAGTATACTCATACCCCTTGTTGTAGTCATGCAAGCCCTAACCTCTGTCCAACTACCATAATTAAATACTCAGTACCTTTGTTAAATGACCACTCAATAAAAGTTTGGGTGAAACCTTAATAGAACAATAAAATCACCAGGGCTAAAGCCTTTTAGGTTGAGTATTGAGGATGAATTGGAATTGAGTCGTAAACTGACGAATCGGTTCGAACTGGATCTAGTTCAAATTTTGAATCGAAACGACAAAAAGGACCTGTAACACAAGACAGACCATTCCTCAGGCGAGAACTATAAATCCGTTGAGACTAATCTCCACACCACAATCTGAACCTACCTCTAAGCAAGTGCCCAAAAAAAAGGTAGACCTTTGGCAGAATTTCCCCTATTCAAGGTGAATTGCCAGAGTCGCCACCTGTCAAAATATAATCTAACTCTTTTAAACTAAGAAAATTTCGGCAGCGCTTCCCGTAGGAGAAGTGTCTTTTCAAAATTTATATAAGCCTAAATACGAAAACAAAGATAGTTTTTGGTTTTTCAAAGTCAAATTTTGTCTAACTCCCTGAATTAGCAAAAATTTGGACAGCATCCCCTTTAAAAAATGAGACTTTCCATATTTTTACTAAGTTATATATAAGATTTAGACAGTTGAACCTTAAAAAGTCAAAATTTGACAAACTCCTTGGATTTGCAAAAATTTTGGCAGCACTTCCCGTAGAGAGAGTAGCTTACCAAAATTTATACAAAGCCAAGTATAACAAATGATCCAGAAAATGCAAAAATTGATTTAAGTAAAATAAAATTAGCTAAGAAAATGCAAAAATTGAACTAACTCTTATCACTCTAGCACGTGGCGAGCCTCTAAAGGAACTATCTGTCAAGCTGAAACTCAGATTAAGTAGTGATCTCTATCGACCACATGCAGGCCAACCACAAAGGTAAGTACTCTCACCAACCCAAATCACCTTTGACAAACAATAGTTCATAGTCTTTCAATGATTTATCCCTTTATACCCAACTTACATAGGGCATCGAGCTAGGTCATTCATCTTAGAAATAATGCCAACTTTTTGCCTTAGTTCAAGTTATACATGAACAGGTTGCACAACTACTTTTATCTTCATTGGGCTTATGACTAAGTCATTCGTCTTAGAAACGATGCCTACTCGCCCTGATATGTTTAAATAACCAAGTTATATATACTTCTTTGAACTTAATCTTCAAAAGTAGGTGTAGGACTGAGTCATTCATCTTAGAAACAATGCTCAGCCGACCTAGTTACCTTCAGTTATAACTTTTAGTTATACTCTCTTGATTTGTGATAAGGCTATAGTCAGATCATTCGTCTTAGAAATAATGTCTGGCTAACCTTGTTCTTATAAACATATAGATATAAAAATACAGAAAGTCATATTCTTTGTTCACATTATAATCCTGCGGCCTCAGACTTAGACCATTCATCTTAGAAACAATGCTCAGTCTTTGGTTTGAACCTCCCTCATAATAAAACAACCAAAATAGTTGAGTCATTCGTCTTAGAAACAATGCTCAACCCTCTTCTCTCAGCACAAAAAAAAAAACGAGTACCTTGGGTCAAGACCCAGAGACTGTTCAGAAACCACCAAAAATAAACAGTGACCAGACCATTCATCTGAGAAACAATGTCTGGTCCTCAAAGTTTGCACAGTTAATACCCCATAAAAACAACAACCAGGCCATTCATCTTAGAAACAATGTCTGACACTATCAGACCCGTCCAAGCGCAAACAAAACCGTCTTCCTCCCAGCCTTCCCCCTGATGCAACCCTTTTTCACAATCTGCTTTCAGACAACCAACAAAAAATGAAACTGAAAATTGTGCAGGCATTCTTTTACTTAGTCTGGGTTATGTCCTGAAAGTCAAACTGAAAGTCAAAATAGGGGTGCACTCAATATACTCAGTCAGATACATAAAAAATTGTATAGATAGGGGTTATAACTAAGTTTATAAGGGAAAGCAATGGTTACCTCTGAGTTCCCTGCCTCCGGAACCCCTCCTGAGTTCCGACAGAGCTCCCGCAATCGGTGGGTTGACTCCCCACATAGTCTTAGTGCGGACCTACGGGTTGCAATCCCGCCTGCCGCCTTCCTCTCAGAACCAATAGACTAGACTTAGAGTAAGAAAAACAGAAAAAGATAAATTTGAGACTCTCAGATCCAAGAGAGGTGCACTCAAATTCGCGGGAGAGGACCTTCAAATCTTCAGCACCTGAGGGTCTCGTAGTGAAGGCCAAAAGCGCAACATCTTGATCAACCGGAAGTCAAACCGTTGAAATGAACTCCCCTGACGAATTCCCAAATCACAGTGATAAGTCCTCTTTTGCAACCTCTCAAAGATGCAGTCAAAGGCAACCAAACTTAACCAGCTCTGCACACATGATAACCTTGTGCAACCTCAAGGTGCAGCAAGTCCTCCAACTAGTGTCCGACCAAGTGTACAGCGGGAGCACCGCAAAGACACAACCACACTCAGTGGTCACTCAACAAATGTTGCATGCACGACGACCGTGCACCCCAATAAACCCAGCAGAATCTCAATGGCAACCCCGGTCCCTGCAGTTGCTCTTGAGCGCACAACAATATAAGTAACTTTAGCCGCAGCAACTGCTGTAGCAGAACGTTGTCAAGGCAACGCAGTTGGCCGCTCAACCAAGCACGATGACAAATACCACAGTGATCCAGCTTCTTGACAGCCCGCAACACCTTAGCCGCACAACACCACCCACATCCTTGGCACGCTAGTTTAGTTTGTCAGGTACACAGTCCTTTAGTCGAGATCTCGGCTTACTCCAGTTCATCACTACCAGCAGCACAGAGAGGTTCGATCCTCTCCCCCGCAACTTCAACAAGACAGGCCAAATAGCGCGTTGGCCAGCAGGTACGTATACAACCGCGCGACTGGTCTCAGGTTATTTTCAGGGATAGACTGAGCAAGATTGAGTGAATCTTCAGTCAAAGCACGGTCAGGTACACGTACTGCATAGCCTCCTTCCCCGCTGGCAGCCTCACGCCACTTCCACTACTAGAAGGAGTAGTGCACTATTCCGCAGGTAGTCTCCGGACTGTGCGACTCTCATGCTCTCTCCCTTGACCGCAAGAATGAGCGGAATCGAAGTGAATTTTCAATAAGAATTCGGGAGTATCCGCCTCGCTCTGAAATCGTCCCTCCCTCGTTCGATCCTACAGGGGATTGCGCACGCTTCCCCTCCTCTACTGCGCCTCGCTTACCTCTGCGCCACCTCCACGACTGCCTTTTCGCTATCGCCACCAACTGAGTTGTTAGAATCGAATGGACCTGCCGCCGGAAAACGGCAAGGTGCATCCGCCCTTCTCTCCTATCTTACCCCGTCGAAAGGATAAGCAAACGGGTGGGTTCGTTCTTCCCTCCCCACCTCACGCTAC